ACACACCACATGGCCGATAGGCCATTGAATGTCCTTATATCCATCAAGCGAACAGTATCATTGTTTTCTGATTGAAATATACTTAGCAGACAAAGCGACTGTCAACTGCTTGACCAATACAAAGCCAGAATGTCGTCTAACAGTACGGTATCAAGTTAACATTCAAAATCAAAATGCAATGAGAGCTTTGCTATGTTGACCGTTATTTACGCATCAGATTCGTGATTGCACCCCAGTTTCCACCAGTAACCACGGAAGGTGTGTACTTCTTGCACATCCGGTATTTCATTGCCAGTATATACAGGGACTGTTTTGTCAGCAATTTCAGTTTAGAATGTGTGACTGATACCTTGGTCTGACTGAAAAAAATATCATTGGCAGATGGCATGCTAGGCAGTACCACAATTATCCGCTTGTCGAAGGCGGACCGCAGATACATGTTCTTTCATCCGGATTTTTATCTAGCAGCAGGTCTTAAAAATGTACACCCAGTGGCAGTCTCCTGACTGGACTCTGCATACGACGTTTAAGGTTAATGGTCATGCACTTCTTGAATTAACTCATCCAATGTTCTGCAATCCTCTAGTAGATTCGGATCCCCGCGTCGTTAAGGTGCCTCTTGACACGCTGAGATACCTGGCATCGATGCATTGGTCTGCATATGCGTGGCATCCTTAAGGTCGAACTGGGGTGCAAAGGAATTTCGTAAACTATGCTTCTTTGGCAACAATCTTTTGAAACGTTTGTCATAGATGTTGAATTTTCGTATTTAGGCCGAAAGCGATGTCACAGGTTTCCTGGACTCGTAAACTCATATTCGTCACAACGTTTCTAATCAAGCCAGGAGAAGCGAATGACGTTGGGTGCAGGTATCGATTGAAATGGGTTGGCATTTCCGATAGACGCAAACTTCGAATTAAAGCAAAGGTTCCTTCTTCAACAGCTCGTTCAAAAAAGATATCGAGTCGTTCAAAATCGCTTTTGTTTCCATTCTGCAAAACAACGTCGAGAAATAATGGGCGGAAAAATGTTTCAACTTATTATTAGAAACTTATTATTGTCAAAACTTAAGATTGTCAACAGATCTGCCATTATGCACCAGAAGAAATATAAAATATTTCATTTACTTACGCAGGATATTTACGGTAAGAATTCACTGCTCCATTGGTTTTTTTCAACTGGCGGAACCATTTGAGCTGGTCGTCATCCTCCAGTGCATTGGAACAAGTCGGCGTTTCTGAGATGAGTTGAACTAGGGTATGTTGGAGCACCAACAAAGTTTCCCATTATCCGTAGGCATGGAGCCGCGACCTCCCTAAATGTCCCCC